AATCAGGTTTAAGCATAATTGGACATTTATTTTTTAGACGAACCCAAAAGCCCTGCCCTCATCTCTATGATTACTGAGGGGAGCGCTACATATGGAAACCCCTTGCATTAAAAAAAACCATTTTGAGCTCATAGACTTCAAGTTTAAAGTCGTTGACTACTTTAAATTAAAAGTCTTGGTTTTTGATCACCATTTATCTTAGAATGGAGGATGGGATGGATAATGTAATGTTCGTGCTGCTCCAAACTGTTGCAATATAAAAAAAATAACTGGCCTTCAGCTCTCAACATGTCTCATAGTTGCTTAAAAAAACATAAGCCTCAATTTACTCATCTGTCTAAAATCTGACCCACATATATGCTGAAAAAAATGGATCAGGGTTCCTCTATTGAAGTCCGGGCGTAAAGTGCCCTCCACTCTTTAGATGTGTCTGCTTCCAAGTGCCTGAATCAAATGGCTGAATTATCTGCTCAGTGTGACATCATGACTCCTCCTAAATAGAGTTAAGAACAAGAACACTTAGACTAAACCGACATTCTTTCTGTTAAAAGGGAGTTTTACCTCTCCAGTGTCGCTACATCATCACACATTCAGTTTATTTCTATAGTGCCCATTAACGACACATATCATCCCGAGGCACTTTACAGAGACAATTCCACCAGATCATACAGTCAGATTGGTTGAAAGTTTTCTATCTAAGGAAACCCAGTTGATTGGTTCCAGTCATTGACTCGAAAGCAATCCCTCACGCCAAGCATGCTTGTAGCTTTCCTTTCACTTTGGGCCAATCCCCTAAAAATATCTGAACTGCATTAATTTGCTTTTCTAAATGTTTTTACCTTTGTCAGATCAAGATTATATCTCCACAGTTGAGTCTGTAAATCCGTTCTTGTCCTCATTTATCAGCACAGGCTTAGCAGTTCGTGTATGCCATACTAAGACCTGTGGGTAAGAAGAAAGACATTAACGAGCAAAAAGCTAGTGAAAATAATGAAATACTAATGCAGAATATTGAGTTTGCAGACAACACCTTATATCTCATATCTAGCAAAAATTTGAACCACTATAGAGAGGGCGTTCACAATCTGATGCAGTGGGGTTTCCAGGTAAAAACTGTTTTTGTACACTCTAAAAGACCAAAGAGGTTATATGGTGGATTACTGGGAAACAGGGAGGGCATGGAGCGGGTGGACAGCATGAAGTTGCTGGATTTAAAATCCTCCTTCTCACATATAAAGCCTTAAATGGCTAAGCTCCATCTTATATCAGAGATCTGATTGTTCCTTATGTTCCTAACAGAGCACTTCGCTCTCAATCTGCAGGTTTACTAGTGGTTCCTAGAATTTCTAAAAGTAAAGTGGAATGAGAGGCAGATCTTTTAGTTATCAGGCTCCTCTCCTGTGGAACCAACTACCAGTTTTAGCCCGTGAAGCAGAGATACTGTCTACTTTTAAGGCTAGGCTTAAAACTTTCCTTTTTTGATTAAGCTTACAGTTAGAGTGGCTCAGGTTACCCTGAGCTATCTCTGTAGTTATGCTGCTATAGGCATAGACTTCTGGAGATCGGCCTGTTTTTCAGTGTAATCCTGTTTCTCTGACTGTGACTGGCTGGATGTGTTCTCCTCGTCCTCTGAAATGAGAGCTGGCTCGGAGCTCATCCCCCTGGATGTGTGTTTCCTGGACGGGGCCACCTGTGGAGCTGGCTTACAGTTGCTTTTTGTATCTCTTCTTCTGCCTCCTTAAACCCCAGTCGGCCTCAGCAGATGGTCGCTCACACTGAGTCTTGTTCTGCTGGAGGTTTCTTCCTGTTAAAAGGGAGTTTTTGCCTCTTCCTTCTCAGAAAGTGTGATTATTTTCTCATCTGCTCACAAATAGATAGCTAGGATATAAAGCATTCTGTGTCTCAGTGTGAAAGTGTGGTTTGGGAGCTACATGTAAGAGAGGGAAGAAGATTATGGCTGGGAAGATGAGGACAACAAAAGGGATTGTGGATGTAGTCTATCAGATCTTCTCTGTGTCGGTTATGTAATACTGTTGTCATTTACCTAAAATCCCAATAAACAGAGTCTAAACTGTAGAAAGACGCCTACATTCACTGTAAGCATTTAGATCAGGGGTGTCAAACTGGCCCCAGAAAAGGCCGTGTGGCTGCAGGTTTTCTTTCCAACCAAGCAATAGCAGACCAGACTCCAGTCATTTCATCAAGTCATCATGTTTAGATTGGACTCACTTAATGAGATGACTGGGGTCTGGTGTGCTATTGCTTGGTTGGAAAGAAAACCAGCAGCGACACGGCCCTTTCTGGAACCAGTTTGACACCCCTGATTTAGATACATCATCATACTATAGTGCAGTTTAAAGCTTTAGGCTCTAATTCCCTGAGAGTCACCAGTTCCTTCAGTAAGCTGCTCTCCTGATATCCTCCTTTTTACCCCTTGTAACTTGAAATAAGCCTGAGGTTTGGACAGAATCAGGCTGAGGCTCACTGCAAACCCAGCCATGTCAATGGCAAACAGTCTGTGTGGGTCGAATATAGTTTTCCAGCCTTGCCCAGAGCGTTTATCTTGGGTGATTCGTACCGCAGGCCACCCACTAATGCCACAGGCCACACAGACACTTTTTTCGTGGACCTCATCTGTTAGATGAAAGCGCAGAGATAAAAAATAACTCACAGGAATTTACAGAAATCATTATGATATATTATTAAAACATGTAACAGGAAAGCCAGAGAGCAAAAAACAGATAAACTCTACATACAAAATGTACTAGCTCACCTCTTCAAACAGCTGCAGACTGTATATGTTGTCATCATCTGCAAAGTAAACGACTCCAGGCTTGCTGAAGTTTAGAGGATAGGTCTCTCTAAGCCACCGCAGGGCCAGGTTCCTCTGCAACGTACCATGTGGTACTCTGGGGTCACCTTTGGCTTTAAAGTTTTAAGGGGTCTCCACATTGAGATGAGTGAAGTTAAGCCCTGTTTCCTGAAGGAAGCGGCTAACTAGAGCAGTCCTATTCTTGGAGTCCTCCACTATGATCCAGTGCAGGTTGGAGACATGAAGCAAAGTGTTGGCCAAACGAGTCAGCTCAGCCTTCTGCACTGGGCAGCTGTAAGTATGAGTGATGATGTGGAGAGTAGGAAGGGTTTTGGACCAGGGCGGGGGCCGGATGTAAACGTACTCCTTGCGCACCATTGCTGGAATACCAGTTATGAAGTGAGAAGGATTTCTTTAAGGCTCAGGAGTACAATCCACCACTCAGTGTCAATGAGTGAGGAGCAAAAAGACACCAAGCTACAGCTTCTGTAATTACACATCTATGAGATCTTTGAGGTGAGAATATTGTCTTTTCTTTGGTTAGATCTAACCAACAGCAATATTAAGTCCTAGCACAACAAGAAATCAGTGATGAATGAAATTTGATTATTTCCAGCTTTATCGACTCTTACAAGTTATCAGCAGGTCACATGCTTAAAAGTCCAAGTAATTTTGATCAACAAATACAAAATACCTAAATGCTAACATCATTAAACAACAGATTTAAAACTTGCTTCTCAAATATAAGAGTCAGTTATTTTCAGTATCAGAGAGTATTATATTCAGTATCAAGAAGTTAAGTTAGAATAAGCACAAAAGTTAAAAGAAACCTAATTCTTTTGGGTAATTAAGCAAAACTAAAGCAGAAAGCAAGCTGAACAAATGTCAGAACTTGCTGACAAAGGTTTGCAAAATGCTTTAAAAAGTCAAATTTCTGAATAGCGCTAACCAAATATTGATATTTTACCTTTTTGATCAGTTGGACCAAGGCTAATTTTGGTTTGGTGCCAAAAGAAGATGAGCAGCGCCCAAGGCAACACAATCAATACAATGACAATTATGTCTCGTCTTTTCGGCATCTCCAGTATTCCACTGAATGACCTTACTGTCTGTAAGAAATACAAAGTGAAGTTTTGTGTAATTTTGATTTCTTATACTTTGATTTTTGTTCAACAAAGATTGAAATTTGATTCATTTGTAAGGATTTCTTCAAGATTCTTAAGAGTATAATGGAGGATTTTGGTGAATTTTTGAAACAACCACTTTAAAAACAAACACACATGCACAACCTTGTACATAACCTCCAGGAAAACTCCACACAAAGCATTCCGGGATATATCTGCCTTTTCTGAGGCCTTTCTTTTGTTTTCTTACACTTAGTAGACACTTTTCTCTGACAAACCCTCGGCCATTTTCAAAGAACCGCGGTGAGAAAGGTGAGCTTCAATGACTGTCTGAAACCATAGCTCACCACAGATATATACCTGAAAGTGCGCATGCGCAGAAAAAGATAGCTAAATGGGGATGAGCAGGCAGGACGGCCTTACATAACCATATCACGAGAATGATTGACAATTAAGAGGAACATTTATTTAGATGATCCACCTGGAAATAAAAGATCCTCCTCTATACCTTTAAATGAAATGATTTTATTATATTAAGTGATTTCAAGTTAGTATTTTTTTTTTTTTTTATCGTCAGAATTTTTTTTTTTTTTGCAAAATTAGCCCATTTAGAGTTTTGCTTGAGTAATTTGGATGTCATGATGAAAGAAAACTGCAAAGCCAGCCTACAGATCTGGATCTGGAAGTCCAGATCTCCAGACCAACCAGGCTTGAAAACAGGTGGGCACCTCCAAAGGAATGCCTTCCCCTGATGTGTGGCTGGAACAAAGGAAAAACCCCTGCTGTTAGTCTGCCATGCTAAGCTGCTGAATACTGGAGAAAAACTCATGGTTTCCAAACGTTTCTACACAGCAAATTTGGCAGTGTTAAATACGCTGTGTTAAAATATATTTCCTCTTTCTGAGTAAAAGCAACAACAGGTTGAGTAGAATGCCCCCTAGTGTTGGTGAAAATCATCAGAGTTCAAAGACGGCGTGTTAACGTGACTCTTGAAAGCTCCACCCACTTTTTCATCTTCAACCGTTTCTAGACTTTTCTGGCGGGGTGGTTACAGGTTCTCTCCTCTCCTCTTCGAACGATTGTGGTAAGTGTTATCACTTTTTATCCGAATTCTATGTTGGGATTTAACCAAAAATGTGTTTTATGGGAACACCTTGTTGTTTGGCTCCGTATTTTAGCACGTTTTTTTTTTTTTTTTTACACCACAAATTCAAAACGGCTAACGTGACTGAGTGAAAACTTAGCTTAAAACGCGCGCGTTCCCAAGTTGACCAGTACCGCAAGGTAATTAACTTACTGTTGCACTTGATTTAGAAGTATAGCTTGGTTTTATTATTGATAAAAATGCTTTAAAAATTGTCACGGTATGAGGAAAAATTACCCCGCGCCGTTTTAAACGCGGTTCAAAATCAACTGTAACATTAAAACCATCAAGTAGACGCCATTTCCACCTTTATATTTATTTCGTTTTCTTCTAAACTGGCAATGGTTTACGTAAGTTGCTAAATTAAACGTTTGCATTACTGGTCTAACGGTGATATTTGAGGATGTGGTTTAACATAAGGCTACGTTAAACTTTAGGAAGCAGTTTGAATAATGGCGGCATGCTTTTCTTCGGCTTTGTCGACGTACAGAGTAAGCAGAGTATATTTGCATGATTTGTAGTAGAACGGGAATACGTTATTGTAAAATTTTATCTGTCGCAGTGTAAGGCGTACAGTCAGTCATCAGCTTTCGCACCCCCCTCCCATTGAACATTAATCTTGAACGTTTGTGATGCTACGGGGATGCTCTTGTATGTCATCCACTTGCTGTATTTTTTTTATGTAATGACCATATACAACTTTGACCATGTTCAATTGTGTGCTGCAGGAATCATGTTGATTAAAACCAGACTGGGTGATGTCCAAAAATTTGTCAGAATAACAGAGCCGAATCTGAAAGAGTTTTTGGTCGCAGGTAAGAAATCGACTTTGGAGTCTACTTTTGTGCTGCAAGCTTTTAAGTGCTTCGAATAACTGGAAATATATGGAGGATAAAAAGTGCCAAAATTAAATAAATAATTAAATGTGTCAATAATTAAATGTGGAATTAAATAAATAAATGTGTCATTAATTAAAACCACGTCACTAATATAAAGTGCCACAATTAAATAAATAAATGTGTCATTAATTTAATAAAATACGTCTTCATTTTATTAAAAAAATAGATATAATTATTTCAGTGTGCATTTAATTATTTCAAGGTCCTGTGTCGCATGAAATCATTAAATGCACACTGAAATAATTATATATATTTTTTTAAATAAAATGAAGACGTATTTTATTAAATTAATGACACATTTATATATTTAATTCCTTATTTATTTAATGAATTACACATTTAATTGTTTATCGCTGTATTTATTTATTTATTTAATTGTGGCACTTTATATTTAATTACACATTTAATTAATTATTGACACATTTAAATATTTAATGCTGTATTTATTTATTTAATTTGGGCTTTTTATCCTCCATAGGAAGAGTGTCTCTCCTCATAAAAAGATTTATTGGATTTTTGTGAGCATTAGAAAAATATTTATAAGTTTGATTGACATAGGTATTTGTCTTCCTATAGCATTTGCAAAGTTTGGTGTGCCAGCTCTGACAGAAGATGTGAAAGTTTTTGACACTTCGGGAACTGAGTTGGATGATGATGTATTTGAGGATGTAGTTAAGGATCCCTCAACTGGAGTGCTAACCATCAAACTTGACACTGGTTTGTCTCAGTTGCATATGTAATTTATATTACAGTATTGAATAAAATACAAGTTTAGTGTGATAAACATTTTTCCTTCAATCTGCTCCTGTCATGAACAGAATCTGTTTCTATGGTGTCTCCTGAGCAATCGGAACCATCATCCCTCAATTCGTCTGATTCTCAAGACACAATCATCCTTTCAGAGAGTCCTTCCAGTAAACGGCAGAGGCTGGACACAGAAGCCAAACATGTAAGAATTAAAGGGATAGTTCGGTATTTTTGACATGAATCTGTATGGCATCCCCATCACCAGTGTCATGCAATCACACTGACTTACCCCTGGCAGCATCCTGTGAGCAGAGTTCTCGTCCAGCTTTGGTCAAGCCGAAAGTAGTCCGGCAGGTTTGCTAGACCCAGCGAAATAAAACGTTTCTCTTCCCAAAACATTATGTGTTCAAAAGAGTGATATTTTTGCATCCCAAAAACGTTGTAGTGGAAAAAGTCACACGTCGTTATCACTTGGTCCTATTTTCTCTCTGTTCGTATCAGTGCGCACCGTCATTCAGACAGCTAGGGCCTACTAACCTGACAACAGCCAGATGCATGTCTCCCTCCTTCCAGCTAGAAGCTAGGCGGAGGGAGACATGCATCTGGCTGTTGAGCTCGCTGTCTGAATGACGGCGCGCACTGATACGAACAGAGAGAAAATAGGACCAAGTGATAACGACGTGTGACTTTTTCCACTACAATGTTTTTGGGATGCAAAAATATCACTCTTTTGAACACATAATGTTTTGGGAAGAGAAACGTTTTATTTCGCTGGGTCTAGCAAACCTGCCGGACTACTTTCGGCTTGACCAAAACTGGACGAGAACTCTGCTCACAGGACGCTGCCAGGGGTAAGTCAGTGTGATTGCATGACACTGGTGATGGGGATGCCATACAGATTCATGTCAAAAATACCGAACTATCCCTTTAATATAGTAAAACAGTGTTAGGTCTTCAAAGTGGTGGTGGTGTTTTTTTTTTCCTGTTAAAGTGGCATTTTAATAACCATTCGGTTCATATGTCTTTATGATGTATTCTTAAAAGATAAGTACACCCACAGAATGATGTGCCTTCATTTTCTGCTCGCCCTCATGCTGAGCAAGACTCTGAAACACTTTTTTAATATTCAAATGCAGCCAGAGATCGGAGACAATTTTGAATTTCCGGCTGCATTTGAGACATTAAAAACGTGTTCCAGAGTCCTGCTTAGCATGAGGGTGAGGAGAATATAAAGGTACATCATTCTGTGGGTGTACTATCCCTTTTTTCTTCCTCTTTGCTTCTAGTTGGTAGAAACCATTTTGACCAAGAAGCCAGGTGGGGAAAGCATTATAAATGAATATAATCGAAACAAGTCCTTGACAGATGAAACCAGAAGGAAAATGGTGAACATACTAGCGGCTGACATAACAGAGAAGAATGGGTAATTTGTCAATCCTTTCTGTTTAGCTCAGTAAAACTTTCATTAAAATCAGTGCATACAACTAAGACATCTATATATTTTTTTCTCATTTCAATGTTGCAGTACATCACCACCCAGACAGGTAAAAGAAATGTATGCCAGAGGTATTGTGAGCTTGTTTCCCCACCTCAGTGATCCATTCTCTAGGACTGGCTCTGTAAGTCAATGTAATATAGACAATATAATGGCTGTGATAGTGTCAAATGTTAAACTGAAACATTTTGATTTCTAACAGTATATTTCAATAGCTACTTTCATCTTTAAGTGATAAAATTGCTCTGCATACATAACTTTTTAAGTTGCAAGTTTTTTTTATTATTTCCTGCATCACTTTTTTATGTGGGTGGGGTTATATGAAGGATGAGGGTGCAGAAGTGGGAGGTGGTAGATTCAAATAACACACTTTTTTTGTTATGTCAAAATCAAATGGGAAGCACCTTCAATCTAATTAACGGACTATGTTTATTCTTTATCATCAAAGGAGCATTATTATGATGGTGAAAGTGGGTCTGGGTACCTGGCCTGGAGAATTAAAACTATTCAGAGATCTGCTGCCAAAGAACGTCGATCATCATATGGAAGTAACACTAAATTAATTATGAAAACTTTTCTTTGGTCAGAGTTTTTTTTTCTCTTATTTTTATATGATTATCTTGTTTTTTGTATATGTAGCATCATCTGCAGGAGCATCTCATGAAGATGGACCTGGAGGACCAGCTGCCAGACGAGAGCCCCAGTTTGTCCCAGAGATTGTCCTGAGTGAAGATGAGTGTAAGGAAGCTGTCGCATTGATGAAACATTCAGCTGATGAGGACACCATCAAGAAAAAGATGAAGCTGACATTTGACTTCCGCCGCAACATGGTCCTCGACCCACAGCAGTCAAGCAACATACTGTCTGTCTTTCCACGTTTCAAGGATGTCAAAGGCTTGGTAAATATTTCTGATTGACATTTTTTAAAAGGATATATATATTTTACTGGCAGTCAACAATGAACGTAACTTGTTGGGATGTGAAATCTTAGTTCTAATTTATCCATACTCTAGGTGGAACAGGATTTTGTTCTGATGTTTGGGGAAGATGTCTCGGGGAAGTTTCTTGAGAAATGGACAACCGCATTCAAGAAAAAGATCATCCAACAATGCAGAAAGCTTCCATCGACCAGAGAGCTTGAAGATCTCCTCCTGGCAGCTGACACTCCTGAGGATGGCACTGAAGTGGATGACGACATTGGTAAGCTTGACTTTTTCCACATTCCACTTACACTTGTGTGTTTAACCATAGCCCATGTAAGAGTTAAGTAAGGCAATTCGGGGGCTGTATGTCCTATACTTCATATAAATATTGAATAATTCATTTACAACACAAGTTAAACTTTTAACACAATTTCTTACACTGTGGGACAATAACAAAATAAAAGCATATTTGCAGTGCCTTTTGGTTAGCACATTTTTATAGTAGTGCTGTGTATGAACAGCACAGCTACTGTTGCCCTGAGGTGCAATAGATTTATTCAAATGTGAAATGCTTCAAAAATGTTTTGTGTTAGGAGTAGTGAAAGTTTTAAATATAAAATAGCTCAGTAGAAACAGAACTGATGATCATATACACCTGCTGCCTTGTATTTTGTTGAAAGGGAAAATATTGAAATAGCAGAATAACTAAAATTTGCTGATTTTCTACTTAACATCAAATTTGTGTGATTACAGGTTGGGACAGTGACCTCGCATCAATTTTGCTGCTGTTACACCTGATTCCCCCCTCTGCCCAAGGCCGCAAGAGACCAGGAAAGGTGTCTGCTTCCCAAGCAGAGAAGCATCTGTTAGTCTTCAAGAAGGTTTGTTTTTTTTTGTTTTTTATTTATCTATTTTATTCAACGACGTTTCATTGAGGGACCCTTGGTTTTACTCATGATCACATACAGTTAAACGCTATACATAAACAAAAAAACGTGTTAATTTATTATTTATTTGTGTAATATTGCCACCATGTAATTGTAATACTCTGTTTTGTGTTTTTGTTTTGTCAGTCAGGAACCAGTATCCAAGAACATCTGGATTCTATCACAACAAGCACACAGCCCTACCTCCTGGCTATAGGACGAAGTAGGAAATCAGCCCACCAATTTTTCATCATACTTGACAAAAGTGCCATCGCTTGCAGGTCGGCCTCCTCAATTGGTGCCTTTGACGAACTGTTTAAAGCGCATTATGTTTTTGCAACAACATACCACCCGATGCTGTACAACATGTTCACGTTCATCCAGACCACTGTGTACAACATAGATGTTGGAAAAGTCAAGGAGTGTCCTCGTGTGGCTGAAGTTCGGGCTCGGTTGCTTCGTTAGTACACGAATGGATCTGTTCAGTCATGAAGTGTTTTGTCTGTCAGTCTGAATTACCTTCTGCGAATACTCTTGTTAGGCATTTACGAGTAGTTCATGGTTACTTGGATGGAAAAAATCTTCGTCTTAAATGTTCTCAGACTGGATGTGGCCGTGTGCTTGGAACATTTTCTGGGTTTAGAAAACATTTAAATGCCAAGCACACTGACAATACTAATCAAGAAGTTAACGTCAGTTCAAGCAGAGCAGACCTTGGTGATGCAGGAGAGCTGGTGACAACTAATGTAGAGTCGGCCACAACATCTACCGGTACTCTGCTGACCAAGTCAAATATCAGCACTACAGATATGTGTACTACTGCTATTGCACAAGTAAAAGCAGCTGGATTAAGTCAGTCTAATGTTGCGAGGTTTGTGTCAGCCATGGAAGAAGTCATTTTTGAAATCCACAGCCAGGCTAAGGATTTAGCTTTACAGTGCTTGTCTCCACAGGATGAAGAACAAAGAAAAAAAATTGAACAGTCCTTCCAAGTATTAGAAAATCCATTCACACCTTTAAATTCAGAAGCAAAACTAAACAAACATTTACGAGAAAAATGGGGACTTTCTGAGCCTGTACAAAAAGTGCTTGGCACAAGATTTGACAGCAGGAGAAACAAAACTACTGGGACATATGATCAAGTCATTGTAACTGATACATTTGCATATATTCCCATTTTGGAAACACTGAAGAGTATTTTACAAGAAGGTGATACTGCAGAAATGTTCAATTCCAGGTATATTCCCAGGGAAGGTGTGTATGCAGACTTGAGAGATGCCACTTATTTTAAAGAAAGTCCCCTATTCTCAATAGAAAACGATGCCTTGCAGATTCAGCTTTTTTATGATGATTTTGAAACTGCAAATGTCTTGGGATCCAAAAAGGGTTTGCATAAATTAGGCGCTATATATTTTACTTTAAGAAATTTCCCCCCAATTTTTAATTCATCTTTAAACAATATTCATTTGTGTGCTCTATTCCATGCACAGGATATCAAGCGATACAGTTTTAATTTGATACTTGAACCACTTGTTTGTGATCTGAAAGTGCTTGAGACAGAGGGACTTCAAATTCCAAATGTTGAACACAAGATTCGTGGTACTTTGGTTCAGGTTACTGGGGACAATCTTGGTTTACATGGCCTGTTTGGATTTGTGGAATCATTTGGGGCTCGATATTGTTGTCGTTTTTGTCCCCTTGAAAAACACCGTTTTCAAAGTTGTCCTCAGAGCTATCAATACACATTCACAGCACTGTCAGACTGTACAAACAGACCCAAGGCTGCCTCATGTATATGGTGTGAAGCGCATTTGTCTTTTGAATTCACTTCAATATTTCAACACAGCCAACAACTTCTCTGTTGATATAATGCATGATATTTTAGAGGGGGTTGGTCAGTTTGAGGCGAAACTGATTCTGAAGTACATTCAAAGTAACTTTTTAAGTGCTGGTAGAATACATGCATATGATTATGGTTTCAGCCAGCAGCAAAACCGTCCACCTCTGCCAACAGATAAGTTAAGGGATGGTAGTAATGACCTGGGACTAAATGCCATACAATCTTGGTGCTTATTACGCAATATGCCTTTGTTATTTGGTGATTTGATTGAAACAGATGACAAACATTGGGATCTTTTAATTTTGCTTTTACAGATTGTCAATATTGTATTTTCCCCAGTCCTGTCAGAGGGCATGACCATATACCTCAAACATTTAATCATCAGTCATCATCAGTTGTTCAAGCAAATATTTCCTGAAATAAATCTCTTGCCAAAGCATCATTTCATGATACATTACCCTCGTAGCATAAGGAAAATCGGTCCCATTTTACACACATGGTGCATGCGTTACGAAGCTAAACATAATTTCTTCAAACAACAATTAAAGAGTTTTAAAAACATTACAAAGACATTAGCAAAAAAGCACCAAAGTTATATGGCACTGGTTCGTGAATCTTTTGGCAAGGAAAAATTAACTTTAGGTCCAGGAAAGATGGTGACTCTTAATGAGTTAAAACAGGGCACAGCAATTGCTGCAAAAATTGGAACAGTTTTGTCAACCAGTGTATTTTCTGCCAAATGGATCAAATATCACGGTACAGAATACCGTCGTGACTTTCTTATATGTACTGAAGTAACAGATGAGATGCCTGTTTTTTGTAAGATTGACGTGATTGCTGTAAAAGATGACTGTGTCTTGCTCTGTGGAAAACTGATGGAAACCTTGTGTTTTGATAATCATTACCACGCCTTTAAGGTCAGGCTGCATCCAGATAATGTTTTAAAAGTGTTGCACATAAGTGAGTTATTTTACTTTAAACCGTTTGATCTTCAAATGAAGTATGGTACCACAGATAACGCCCTATATGTTGTTCCATATTGTCATTTTATGCAGACCTAGGGTCAGTTTTCTTAACTGTTCGTGTTCAACTTCATATAAGCTGTTTATCAGGGGCCCAGTAATGGAGCAGCAGGCACACATTTTTGTGCATATGAATACGTTGCATGAGGATACCTGGCACGGCAGGTACAGCTATTGCATGTCAATTCACTTTTTTTTTTCTTTTTTTAAATGCTGCATATGAAAAGTTTTATGGAGAGTTTTGCACATAAATTATCTTTTACTTCTTATTGTTCACTCTTCAAATGAAGTATAGGACATATGGCCTTATATGTTGTTCCATATTGTCATTTTATGTAGGCCTGGAGCCAGTGCTGCTAAGTGGTACACTGTTATGACCTGTTACATCGTCTTGTGCACCCAAAAGTTCATGTGCATGCAAACAAGTTGCATTAGGATACCTGGCACGGCAGATACACCTATTGCATGACTTCATTTTTTTTTTTCTCCTTTAAATGCTGCATATGTAAATGGTTTCTGGAGTATGTTTGTAATGGTTAAAAATGCCAAATTAAATATTTTTCTAACATGCTTTTGTGAAATAAAAGTTCTGAAATGTATTTTTGCAATAACATGTTTTTATTCATTGATATTTATAAAAAGTGTAATAGATGCAATTTAACACTACAAAAGTGTAAATATTTATCTGTACAGTGTTAATGGCTTTTAGGATTTGACTCAATTTGAGTTGGGGTTTTTTCACTGCAACAGTGTAAATCAAGACATTAATAGTGAACAGTTAACACAGTTGGGTGATTTTCACGAACCCAACCTATTGAATGTCTTAGAAAATTTTAGGGTCATACTCATAAAAAAATTAAAATAATCCACTTTTATTTGGACAATCATTATTTCTAATATTTGGGACAGATCATTGTTGGCTACCAAAATAAATTTTTTAATGTTTTTTAACTGTTTTTGAAGTCACAAATTCATTACCGTAATGTGTCCTAAGGGGAAAAAAATTATTTCGCCTCAATTTATTATTATGAATAATCAAGCAGGTTTATAAAAAAATATTATGAATTTGTTTAAATATACATAAATTAATAAAATATGATAATATATAATAATTTCCTGTTAAGTACAGGTGCTGGTCATAAAATTAGAATATCATGAAAAAGTAGATTGATTTCAGTAATTCCATTTAAAAAGTGAAACTTGTATATTATATTCATACATTACATACAAACTCATATATTTCAGATGTTTATTTTGTTTAATTTTGATGATTACAAATGACAACAAATGAAAATCTCAAATTCATCATATCAGAAAATTAGAATATTACTGAAGACCAATAAAAACAAAGGATTTATAGAAATGTTGGCCAACTGAAAAGTATGAACATGAAAAGTATGAGCATGTACAGCACTCAGTATTTAGTTGGGCCTCCTTTGGCCTGTATTACTGCAGCAATGCGGCGTGGCATGGAGTCGATCAGTCTGTGGCACTGCTCAGGTGTTATGATAGCCCAGGTTGCTCTAATAGTGGCTTTTAGCTCTTCTGAATTGTTGGGTCTGGTGTATTGCATCTTCTTCTTCACAATACCCCATAGATTTTCTATGGGGTTAAGGTCAGGAGAGTTTGCTGGCCAATTAAGAACAGGGATACCATGGTCCTTCAACCAGGTACTGGTAGCTTTGGCACTGTGTGCAGGTGCCAAGTCCTGTTGGAAAATGAAATCTGCATCTCCAAAAAGTTGGTCAGCTGCAGGAAGCATGAAGTGCTCTAAAACTTCCTGGTATGTGGCTGCGTTGACCCTGGACCTCAGAAAACACAATGGACCAACACCAGCAGATGACATGGCACCCCAAACCATCACTGACTGTGGAAACTTTACACTGGACTTCAAGCAACGTGGATGAAGTGCCTCTCTTCTTTTCCTCCAGACTCTGGGACCTTGATTTCCAAAGGAAATGCAAAATTTACTTTCATCAGAGAACATGACTTTGGACCACTCACCAGCAGTCCAGTCCTGTTTCTCTTTAGACGCTTCTGACGCTGTCTGTGGTTCAAGAGTGGCTTGACACAAGGAATGCGACAGCAGAAACCCATGTCTTTCATACGTCTGTGTGTGGTGGTTCTTGAAGCACTCACTCCAGCTGCAGTCCACTCTTTGTGAATCTCCCCCACATTTTTGAATGGGTTTTGTTTCACAATCCTCTCCAGGGTGCGGTTATCTCTCTTGCTTGTACACTTTTTTCGACCACATCTTTTCCTTCCCTTCGCCTCTCTATTAATGTGCTTGGACACTGAGCTCTGTGAACAGCCAGCCTCTTTAGCGATGACCTTTTGTGTCTTGCCCTCCTTGTGCAAGGTGTCGATGGTCGTCTTTTGGACAACTGTCAAGTCAGCAGTCTTCCCCATGATTGTGTAGCCTATAGAACTAGACTGAAAGACCATTTAAAGGCTTTTGCAGGTGGTTTGAGTTAATTAGCTGATTAGAGTGTGGCACCAGGGGCCATCAATTTTGAACCTTTTCACAATATTCTAATTTTCTGATATGATGAATTTGAGATTTTCATTTGTTGTCATTTGTAATCATCAAAATTAAACAAAATAAACATCTGAAATATATGAGTTTGTATGTAATGTATGAACATAATATACAAGTTTCACTTTTTAAATGGAATTACTGAAATCAATCTACTTTTTCATGATATTCTAATTTTATGACCAGCACCTGTAATTCAGAATATTGTAATAAAAGTGAGTGTCCGGAGGTTCAACTCTCATTACCGTTGCACCGTGTTCAAAGTCCTGTAATATTCACAGCACTTTTTTAAATAAAGTTTTTCTGACCCATGATGCACCACAAAGAAGAGAAGACAAAGATGGCTACAAGGTAAGATTGTTTGACATCTTTAGATCATGACAACTGTTAAGTTTCTCCTTCCATATGCCTATTTTTACACTACAGGTTATCATTACCGTAATGTAGAATACCTCATGTTCTTAAAAAGTTGTTAATAAGATGATTTCTTGTACAGAAGAAGTTAGAGAGTTCACACTGTTTGTGAGAAAAGTTTAACTGAGTCATCACGACATGCTAGAATTTTAAGCTAGCACATGTGGATGTCATTCATTACCGTAATGCATAACTTTCATTACCGCGTAATCTGAGGCCTGTTGCGGTAATGAGAAACAAGATTACGGTGATGAACAGTGTCATTTTGCAATAATAAATAGATAAATGTATAGGTTATTTAAACTGTAATGTTGTTTATTATACTTTCAATTTTTTAGGCTAAATTTCTAAGCTAATTTATGCTAATTGATATCACCTAATATGAAGGGCAAAAGGAAGTGAACAGAAGAGGGCGGCATCAAGAGCTAGGGTGGAAAAACATAGGCAGAAGATTTATAACAATCCAGACCTTCTAGAGGAGTATAGAAGGAAGGAAAGGGAAAGGTAGTGTCTCTCTTTCTCCCTCTCTTCCCCTTTCCCGCTCTTTTTCCCTCTTTCTCGTCTCTCCTTGTATTCTGTTTTTTCACGCTCACACTGTACAAATACAGTACAGACTTTGCTAACTTTGCTGTCTCACAAATGTTCCTATTGATATCTTATTTTAACAGGTATCAGAAGCGCAAGGAAAAAGGGTTGTTAAAGGCAGCTGCAGATCTGACACCCAGGCAGCTGCAGAAACAGCGAAAAAAATGGAGGGAAAATTCTAATCGATATAATAAAAAGAAGCAAACAGTTAAACACATACTAAATGAAACCCCTCCCTCAGATGACAGTGTGAATCAAATCAACCCTCAGCCTCAACCACAACTTTGTAAAAGATTAATCCAACCAAAGACCGTGAACTCTAATCCATCTGCAACATCAACTCCAAAGCGGAAAAAAAAACAGCCAAATTAAGAGAAAAACTGAGGAAGGCACAACAAATTCTTAGTAACAAGAAAAAGGAACTAGATTGCCTGAAAAAAAAAATTAAACGAATGGAGGAAAACAGGTCCACAGTTCTTCTTACAAGTCGAGCCAAACAGAGGAGAGAGAACCGCAAGAAGCAGGGTGAGAGAAACCAAAGAAGAAGGATGAGTGACAATGTCAGACTGTTCCTGAACAGAGACGATGTGTCCACATTAATAAATGGTAAACTTGGGGAAGTCAGGAAGGGTGGACAAATTTATAGGAAGAGGTTCCTCTCAGACACCATGGAAAATCTCCACAAGAGATTTCTTAAAGAGAACCCAGGCCTCAATGTGTCCCGCTCCCAGTTTTTTAAGCTGAGGCCCTTCTGGATAGTGAGACCAAAGATCACTGATAGGGAAACATGTGCCTGCAAAATACATGAGAATTTTTCAAATAAAATAAAAAAAATGCACCATCTCGGATTGATACATACAGTATCTATTACTGATGTAGTGGCTTCATCTGTCTGTGATTCGGAAAACATTGATTGCATGTATGGTAGATGTGAAGCCTGCAAAGATATTACTTTCCCTGTCAACATGGATCCAACTACAAAAAACAACATTATATCTTGGACTGAGTGGACAACAAGGTCAACACCAATAAAGAAGAAACTGCAAAATGGCACTACCACGGAGATTGACATGAAAACCACCACCCTGGAGAAAAAAGTGGCCACTATTGAAAAACTTGTAGAGCTAACCAAGTCAGAACTGCCCCGGATATCTACTCATTTGTATAACATTTGGCACCAGTTCACTCATCTTAAGCAATTGAAAGAAAATTTGACCCAGCATGATGTTGTAGTCCATGTTGATTACAGTGAAAACTACACCTGCAAATGGAGCAAGGAATAAAAGACGCTCACTTTGGTGGATCCCACCAGCAAGTCACACTCCATACAGGGGTGTTATACTACACTGGTGGTCAGGCTGAGTCCTTTGCTACTGTGTCTGCCAGTTTACAGCACGATGCTGTTGCTACATGGGCACATTTGCAACCAGTTTTAGGATACATAACATCTAACTACCCCCTGGCAAAAAATATCCACTTCCTGTCCGATGGACCAACATCTCAATATCGGAATAAGGTAGCATTCTACCTTGCGTCCACAGTGCCTTTTATGAAAGGGTTTAAGACTGTGACGTGGAACTTCACTGAGGCCTCTCATGGGAAGGGAGCTCCTGATGGAGTAGGAGGTGCTCTTAAAAACCTTGCAGATCGTGTGGTGGCCTATGGCACAGACATCCCAAATGCTTCTGCTCTACTAGAGAATCTGGCAAAGCACTCATCTGTTAGGCTTTTTGAAGTAACAGAGGATAATATTGCTGCATGTGGGGAACTCGTTCCTCCATTCCTGAAATCAGTCCCAGGAACTATGAAAATACACCAGGTGAGCACCCATATGTGCAACTAAACAAATGCACACTCATTTTTATTTTGCTTGGCTTTTTTTTTTTTAGCTTGGTTTCAATTTTTTCTCTATTTTTTGTTGTAAGTTTGCATTTCAAAGAAAATATTTCTTTTTATAGATCTGACCTTTTCATGGTTTTGCAGATAAAACTAAACATAATGTCTCCACAGGTTGTTGCTACTGAACCAGGAAATATTAGATTTCGAGTTTCGTGCTTCTGTAGTCACTCTTGTGACTGCTTCTCTCCAAAGGAGTTTGTTTTCACGCAAAGGGAATCTGAAGAGACCATCAAAGTAGGAACATGGGTCCTTGTGGACTATGACGGAGACCTCTATCCTGGCACAGTAACACAGGTAGGTTTAAGACTGAGTGGAGAATGGGAAGTCAGGTGTGCAAGTATTGGATTCAGATTGTCAACATGTAATATCAGGGTAATGATTATGTAATAATCAAATTGTCTTTGAAAAACACAGTTGATAACATTTTTTTGCTTCATTAATCCAGATTGCCAGTGGTCAGTATGAGGTTGATACAATGAGCTGTGCGGGAGACAATCGCTTCTACATACCATCAATAAGGTTTGCTGGTGAGAAGGTATGGTATTATTTGGATGACATCAAAGAAATTATTCCTGAACCACTGCCTACCTCTTCATCCGCAAGACACTTCTGTGTGGTGTCAGAAATCTGGGCCAAGTACAAAAAGAAAGTCCAATGAATTATTAAAATTAATGAATATTTTGTTTTTTTATGTAGCCTATGTATATTAAATCTAAGTGTCTAAGTGGCAGTCAAGACTTTCATTAACTATGACGCCTGGTAAATCAGGCCAGACCTAGAAGGAAAAAAAGAGTCACAAAAAAGGTCACAAATCATCTAGGAACAAAAAAAATCCATCACCACATCTTTTTATGTCTCCCTTTATCAGTAGTTCAGGGTCATTTTCTGAATTTGATTTGATATCAATTGAGTCTTACCTTTCCCCACACAATTTCGTTGCTCAGATTACTGGGCCATTTGATGAAGACATCAGCTGCTTTTCCTCTGCTGAAAACAGGGTAAACTGTTTCATTGCCTGAAATGGCTGGGAAAAATATGGGACTATTTTTCTGTTCAGTTTTTGTGTCAACTTAATAAACTTAACATTTTAAAAATATATGTTTTACTAGGGTATTTTATTGTTTGGGTAGTTAAATATTAATGTAGTTATGAAGGGTTCACTACCGAAACATTGTTTTTCATTACCGCTATGTTAACTGTTTGAGGATTTATTTAGATTAGTTATGTGAATTACTTTTATATTCATCCCTTGATGAAATGTGCCAGACCCTTTTTATGTTATGGTTATATTGTTTGTTCAATGTAATGATTTGATAAAAAATGACAATCAAAATTTACTTTGAAATTTGTATCACTGTTACGGTGATGAAATGATTTTTTGAATTAAAATATAACATTTTGTAAAAAAAATGCCTATTTTTGCTTATTTCTGTCTCTCTGTGCACGCTGAAGTCCTTGGTGTCCAAAAAATGTGAAAAAAATGGTTTTGTGGTTTTAAATTTCTTCATGAAAATTGTGTTACGGTAATGAATTTATTTGGTCAAAGTTAGAATAAAATGTTTAAAATTACCTAGAAAATGTGCATATAGATTATAATTTTACAGTGAAAAGTGAAATTAGGATCTGTTTTATAAAGAGTGAGTGTTTTTTTGTGTATATAATGTTTTTAAAATTTTGCTACAAGTTGGACCATGTTCGTGAGAATCACCCAGTTATGAGTCTTCAGTGTTCACCTCCATTAACTCAGTGCAAGGTTAAAAAGTATCTGTATCAGAGTTGATTTGTCACCCCAATAGTGTAACTCTTCAACACTCCTGAGAATCATTTTAACTCTCTCCAGTGTTAAAGGAGAAGTTCGGTTTTTTACACTTTAAGCCCATTTTCTGTAGTGTCCAGGATGAAATCGAATGAAGGACACCAAAATTTTGACAATTGGTCCTGTCTCTGCTTTTTGGCTCATTTAGAATCAACCCCTGGCTGCTTTAGAATGGCTAGCATAGAGCATGTCCGATAATGTCCTTAAAACAACCTTAAACGTTCTTTTTTTAAAATATGCTACTCACCGTGTCGTCAGCGCTGTTCAATGACGTTCCAAAAAAAGTTTCGTGAAGAAAAAACGTTCCTGTAGTGTTTTATTTAGCATTTTGTAAATCCCATTGAGTTCTGTAGGAATAGTCAATATTCCGCTGCCACCGGAAACGGAAATGGAGCCTGTTTACACAGATGTAGTCTTTTCACTTCACTCTGTGTACTCCGACGTCGAGAATCAAGAATCCACCTTTCGTATTCCATTTTCAGAGTTTTTTAAAGTGTTTAACAGAGACGTTAGCACCTCGACGTCGGAGTACGCAGAGTGAAGCAAAAAGACTACAACTGTGTAAACAGGCCCCATTTCCGTTTCCGGTGGCAGCGGAATATTGACTATTCCTACAAAACTCAATGGGATTTACAAAATGCTAAATAAAACACTACAGGAACGTTTTTTCTTCACAAAACTTTTTTTGGAACGTCATTGAACAGCGCTGACGACCCGGTGAGTAGCATATTTGAAAAAAAGAACGTTTAAGGTTGTTTTAAGGACATTATCGGACATGCTCTATGCTAGCCATTCTAAAGCAGCCAGGGGTTGATTCTAAATGAGCCAAAAAGCAGAGACAGGAGCAATTGTCAAAATTTTGGTGTCGATCATTCGATTTCATCCTGGACACTACAGAAAATGGGCTTAAAGTGTAAAAAACCGAACTTCTCCTTTAATAACCTACAGTGTTAAGTTCTATTAACACTGTACAGTGTAAACCGGTGTTAAATTTTAACTCAATTCTGAGTTAATTTCACTCTGAAATTTCAACACTTTGGAAAGAGTTAATTCAACACTATTTTGATAAGGACCAAATACACTCGGATATAGTGTTAAATTTAACTCTATAAGTGTTGATTTAACACTGCAAAATTTGCTGTGTAGCTAAATGTTTTCTTTTTTCTATGATTCTTGATCATTTCATGTGTCACAAAGACTAAGTTAACAATATGAATTGCATGGTAACTGTCTGAGCTATTGTTAGAAAGCTAGTACAAGATTTATTTCAATAAGTCTATGGACGAGAGTCGGGCTACACCCTGGACGGGTCAGCACTCTGTCGCTATTTTTCATGTTTAGTATAATTATACTATTTTTATTCTGCACATCTGCTCCATTCTATAAAAGAAATTTTGTTAAATGTTTCGATGAAAAAGTTGCAGTTTTGACCTATCTATCTATTTATCTATCTATCTATCTGTCTGTCTGTCTGTCTGTCTGTCTGTCTGTCTGTCTGTCTGTCTGTCTATCTGTCTATCTATCAATCACACTTAGGCTGGTTCTGCTGGAGGTTTCTTCATGTTAAAAGGGAGTTTTTCCTCTCCCCTGTCGCTACAAGCATGCTTGGTGTGAGGGATTGCCTTCCAGTCGGTTTTCTGATCTTTCAACTTATAGAAAACTTTGAATCAGTTAGACTGTATGATCTGGTTGAACTATAAGTGCCTTGAAATGACAGGTGTTGTAAATGAGCGCTATATAAATAAACTGAATTTAATTGAATTGAACGTGTGAAGAACAGGATGGAAAGCAAAGACAACAGCTGAAATCTCTCTGTAATTAGAAAGCAATCCTGCCTCTTTTCAGTGCAAATTAATATCAGCAGGTTCAGTCACAAAGTGTTGTCTATTAAAAGGTTTCTCTAGACTTCTAGTTTCTCAAGACCTTTGCCACCTGAATTTAGACATTGGTTACAGAAGGAATTCTAACACACCAAGAAAATGTTCTTTGAGAAGACATTTAAAGATTTACTTCCAAACAAAGTCTACATTTGGTTGAAAAGTAATAGGTGAATAGCCATAATTTTTTAGGTTGTTGAAAGGACATTGAAAACAGGATTTGCAACATCTTTTCAACATCTATTATTGTACTAAAATGGGGAAAAAAGTCAGATAGGCCAAACACAGCCCAGTTTTCAACAACTATTTCTGGACTAAATCAAGACTAAGATGGACCTTTAAGATTTAGCCTATAAAGCAACGTCTAAATGATGTCTGGTGTTTGGGGCGAAACTTCAGTATATACTAGTGAGCATTGTTGGGGCCATAATCTGGAAGTGGAAAGAAACTAATTTTACCCTAAACCGACCAGGTGCTCCACGCAAGATTTCTGACAGAAGAGCGAAAAGAGTTATCAGAAGTGATGTTCAAGACCCAAAGACCACTTGTGGAGACATACAGAAACACCTGGAATTAGCAGGTACAATTGTTTTAATTCAGTCATTGAGCTGGGAACAGCTCACTGACCAGTGTTTACACGGATCAAACGAATCAGCAAGCGACCCACATTAAATCGCCTCGGCTCTGATAAATCATGCTTTGGGAACACCAGACCCACTACATTAAGGGTCACCATTGAATGCAACGTACAGATGTCCACACCGTTCTGCCTGAGTATGTTGTTACTCTAAGTATAACAATATGTGTTTATCTATCAATTTGGGAAGATATTGAAATCTTACCCAAAACAACCTCATGTTTGATGATGTAGAACTGAACGTGGGACTCATAATAATCTGCCTTTTCATATCTACCACCATTTTTTTTTATGTGAGGCTGGGAATCGTGTGTTCATCTATAATTTTTAGAAGATATTCAAATCTTCCCCAAAACACTGTGGCTTTGTAAATTTACATGTGTAAATGTTATCATGTCCTCTTGCTTGATGGTGTAGAACTGAACATGCAGCTGATAACAGTTTGCATTTTCATATCTACCACCGTTTTTTCTAAGTCAAGCTGGGACTCACTCAACACAAGTATAGCATTAAACTTTGCTCCCAGATTCAGTAAATGGAATACAGAACTATGATCATTAGATTTTTTTTGGCATTATTGGTATTTTTCCACATTTGCAGATTTAGTTAGTTTGTGTTTAACTTTCTTCAGGTATAAATGGATCCTATCTACCATGGCCACATATCGACAATGCTTCAGTTTACTCCTGCCAAGTTAATTTTCCATTGCATGGCCACTCTAATAAGCAATAATAAATATTCATTTCGTACATTTGAGTTTATGTTTGTTGTATGGAGGTGTTCCTTTTCTATTCCTAAATTATTACAGTTTATTAAGGCTCCTCATCTGTCATATTTTATGCCAGCTGGCTCACATTATCAACATCAATGAAAGTATTTTTTTTAAGTGTGAGGTTTAAGTTATACATTTCAGAAGAAAACATACTCCAAACATTTTCTTTTTCAATAACTGGCGTAACTTTCTGAAGGACTGGTGTGGACATGTTCCCACCAACTTTGGGCATGGAGGGGACAGTCCCCACCAATAATTTCTGCTTTTTTCCTCCTTTCTGCTGATTTACTTCAGCCAACAGTAACTGGGGCTGAGTGCAGCTAACTGTGTTCAGAGCGTTTCAGTTTTATCCTTGCTCTCCCGCTGCTGTCGAGTCAGTCGCTTTGGGACATAATATTATTTGGGGTCGCTATTCACTGCGTGCAGAGTAGCTACGAGGATGAGAATATATACCCAATATATATAAGCCGTTTTAACATGAAGTCGGTTTCGTCTGACCTATTATGGCAAGCTGTTTTAACATAAATTTGCAGCAGCACTCAGTGAATTTTAACTGGCAGCTACTCCGCAATATATTTTTGAGTAAAAGTTAGGAGACTGGCTGGTTAAAAAAGTCAGAGATGCCAGTAAAAAAAATCTGTTAGTTACACATACAGACTTTTTTCAGCTAAAAAATGGCAGCAGATTGTACATTTATATGAGTTAATAAAGCTGGGCTTCTCAGAGGACCATTACTCAGAGTTACAGATTAACATTAACATATCAGACTGCAGAGCTTCTAGAGATCCTGAAAATTAGATTCTCAGGCATCATTATATTGGTAGACTGGTTCATAAATCTGTTTTTAAGCAAAGCAAAGACACAATTAGGAACAGCTGCTGATTTA